TCTGCTTTTCCAAAGAAATGTGAATTCTTTTTCTTTAATGTGCATGAATGTTTTACCTGCATGTATGTGTGTGCACTGTATGTGTGCCTATTGTCCACAGAAGTCAGAAGAGGGTGTTGAATCCCCTGGAACTGGAGTTATGGATGGTTTTGAGCCACCATCTGGGTGCTAGGAATCAATCCTCATCCTCTGTCAGAACAGCCAGTGCTCTAAACCTCTGAGCCATTGCTCTACCCTGAAATACACATTCATTGGGGACTGGGACAGATTGGAAAGGACCAACCTAATTCTGGGCACAGTGGCCCTGTTGGAACAAAGACAGTTGACTGGGTTGGGCCATCTAAGGCAGGTCTTATGTTGCTTCTGTAGCTCTCCATGGTTCTGAGCACTTGTGTTGGTGATTAGATGGCAGCCTCCTTTGGTGGGGTTTCAGGTAAAGAAAACAAATAGTTCTTTCAGGCTGAGTCTAGAAGGAACCAGCCCTTCTGAGAATGTGGGACCTTCATTAGTAAGTCCTAAAGTCTCTTGAATAGCCATACTTGTAAGCAAACAACAAAATAGCTGAAAATTAGACATAGCTCTAGAAGGCCATTTAAAACACTGAGAAATCACAGGGCAATGGTGGCACTTGCCTTTAATCCTAGCACTCAAAAAGAAGGCAGAAGCAGATGGACCTCTGAGCTTGAGTCTGGCCTGGTTCACAGAGCTAGTTCCAGGACAGTCAGGGCTCCATAGAGAAACCCTGTCTCAAAAAGAAAAAAAAATCAACAAACAAAAACAAACACACTAAAAAATCATGGGTCAGTTGGGCACTTGGCTTGGTTGGCAGATACTGGCTTAGCATGCTCAGAGTCCTGGGTTCCATAGCCAGCACTCCCTAAACCAGCATGGTGTACCACAGGGAGAAGGGGAAGCAACATAGAGTTGGAAGCTGTCCTGGGATATGTGAACCTTTGTCTCTAAGCAGACAGAACTAGAAAGATGGCTCCACAGTTGAGTACTTGCTGCTCTTGCAGAGAATAGAGTCAGTTCACAGTGCCCACATCCTGACTCACAACGACTGTAACTCCGGTTACAGATTTGATGTCCTCTTCTGGCCTGCACAGCTCCTGATGCCTGGTGTACATTCATCCACTCAGGACACACATAGCCATGAGAAAAGTATTAATAATTAGAAATCTCTAGTGTCGTTACTTTGTCCTTAAACTACATATAAGTGATGTCTATTTGTGTTTATTTTCTGAAAGGCGTATTCCAAGGAGAGAGTCAGTCCTAAGGGAATCCTTGAAGTAGGCAGTGCTTTGGGAGAGAATCAGGCAAAGCTGGCATGGTCTCTCTTTCAGCCTTCCAAGGCAAACACTGTTAGAAGTAAAGCCTGTCACAGTTACCACCAGGAAATAGCCCATTTCCTGTGATAAAAGTGTGGTAAGGAAGTACTAGGAATGAAGTCTGGGGTTGGGGTCTCACATGTCCAAAGCAAGTCCTGTACCGCTGAGCTCTGCCCCACCCCCAGATAGTTACGTTCTAAAGTGCGTAGTGTTTTATTCAAACAAAAAGCTGTGGGGTGTGTGTGTGTGTGTCATAGTGTGTATGTGGAGGTCAAAGGACAGCCTTAGCTATTGGTCTGTGACTTGTCTTTGCTGTTCAACTGCTGCACACACCTCGCTAGCTCACCCCAAAATTTCTTATGTCACTGTAGGAACTCTGCGATTGCTAACACATACCACCATACCTATTTTTACATGATATGCTGGTAGGCTTGGGAGGGGGGCGGTGATAGAAGAAAGCAAACTAGAGGAACAAGCCAGTAGCCTCTGCCTCATTTCCTGCCTCCAGGCTCCTGCTCTTAGTTCCCGTCATAGTGGACTGTAAGCTGTCAGTTTAAATAAATTCTTTCCTTCTCAGGTTGTTTTCAATCATGGTGCCCACCAAAGCAAAAGAGAGCAAACTAGTACACATGAGTTCTGGGGACTCAGACTCAGATCCTCGGAGCCCAGACCCTGGATACCTTAACTGAGGGGTTAGTGGGTCCCAGGCAGACAGAGTGTCCACAGGTTCACTAGCATCTCTTACTGAGGGGTTCGTGGGTCCTAAGCAGATAGAGTGTCCACAGGTTCACTCACATCTCTTCTAGCCGTTCAGTGGTCATTTTTCTTGAGTTCTGCTCATTTCAGCCTTTTCTTCAAGTTCCTACTGGAATCATTCTGGATTCTACTTGGAGTCGCTAGCTGTCCAGCAGCGTGACCCTGCTGCCAGGACGCCGTGCACCCATGCTTTTTACTGTGCAGAACTGCAGGCTGGGCCTTATTAGAACAGTTGGTTTTAGAATCCAGATTTAGGAACTTGAATGTGCCATAAACCTTCATGCCAGAGACTACTGCAATGTGGAAGGAAGGTCGTGATTGTTACCAGTTTATTGCAGCTAACTGTAATTTTTGCCATTTTTGTAAGAATTTTTCCAAGTACATTCATTAATGTGTTCAGTTGGCACAACCCTAAGTCATTAGTGCTGTCTGCTCTACTGTATGGCTTAGGAATACTCAAAAGTGCCATCAGTAGATGGATTAAGGGATATTTTCTGACTCTAAACAGTATAAACTTGGGGCATATGCTAGTACGCTTGTGACAGGTCTTATGTAGCCCAGGCTGGCTTCAAATTTGATATGTAGTGGAGGATGTCCTTGAGCGAGTCCACCTACTTCTGCCTCCTGAGTGCTGGGATTCCAGGGGTCTGAGACCAGTCCCTTCCTGTCTCTCCACCATGGGGTAAGCCGCCCCACTTCACCACCTGCTCACTCCTGTAGTGTTAAACCTTCCCATGTGCACGCCCGGAAGTATTTGAGCCAAGAGGCTGTGGACCTCTGAAACTGACCCAAAATAAATCCTCCTGTAAGTTGTTTTTTGAAGCCAAATGGCTCTATAGTAGATGCTTCGTTCCTGCTCTACATCCCCCTGATGCAATCAGCCATCCCTCTTCACACAGCTCGGTGTTTTTTTTTTTCTTTTCGTGTAGTGGATAAAAGTCATTGTGGGTGTTTCCTTTTGCAGTGCTGGGGTTGAAGCCAGAGTCTTGATGCTAGGCCCTGAAGAACATCCCTAACCCAAGAGTAGAAAAACTTCTGACCCCTTGGTGGGCAGGAAAATGTACTTAGTGTCATTTTAAAATGGCCAAGGCAATCAGTTTTGTTAGATGTATTATGCCCCAGTAAAATTTGTGGGTTTTTTTTTTGTTATTGTTTATTTGTTTTCTGAGACAGAAACTCTCTGTAGCTTTGGAGCCTGTCCTGAAACTCTCTCTGTAGGTCAGGTTAGCATCTAACTCACAGAGATCTGCTTGTCTCTGCCTCCCAAGTGCTGGGATTAAAGGCATGCACTGCCTCCACCTGGCTTGCTACGTAACTCTGTGTGTGTGTGTGTGTGTGTGTGTGTGTGTGTGTGTGTGTATGGGCCATGTGCATGCAAGAGGCCAGAGATCATTCGGTGTTGTCTGTCATTTCTCTATTCCCTTGAGACAGGGTCTTTTCTGAACTTGGAACTGTTTTTCGACTACAGTGCGGGGTGGGGGGGGAGGTGGTCAGCAAACACTCTTGCCTCTGAGCCATCTCCCTAGCCCCTTACTATGTTAACTTTTTAAGTGCATATTTGGTTTACGCTATACAAATGAACATAAAACCCAAACCTAAACCCTGGTTCACAGAGGCAAACTTTTTCCGACATGCTTCTCAACTCTTTCAGTATGCTTTTCCCTAATCCAGTCAGGATTGGGAATGCCCTACATGTCTGCTTAGTCATACTGTTCAAGTTATTAGAGTTAGCTCCAAGAGCTAGGGGTCCATAATCCCATGGTTTCCACATGAATAACCTACAAAATTCGCAGGAATAGACACCAGCACACAGAGTAATTCTTTTGATCCTTGCCCCAGTTCCCACAGGAGTATTTGACGGCTGTTGGCGACTGCTAGTCAGGAGGGCTGCTGCAAGGCACTGCCCCACCATCGTGAGTTCCTGTGCTCACACCCTCGGCCTCTCTGCACCGTGTTGTAAGAGAATTCTCCATCTGTTTTCCCAGTGGCCTGCACCAGCCGCCAGAACAGTTCTTTCAGTGACTACATAAGCACAGTTCTTGCTGCCTAATGAGCTGAGGGGCTGCTGTTCTTGTGCTGGATGTCACAGCTGTGCTCACCTCCAGGGAGCTCTTTGCCCCCACTTTCTTATAAGCCTCCCATGAAACACAGCTCCTCTGCCAGGTGTTTTCAGTCACCCCCATATTGCCCACCAAAGTCTGCCTTCCTTTCCCTTGAATGCCTCTGGCCATTCAAGCCTTCACCTTCCTCAGCCTTCCAGTGTAACAGGAGACCTCCCCTTTGAGCCACCTATTTCCCTGACCTTCATGTTGGGCATTCCAGACAGTCAGGCTTTGAACTGGACTTGTGTGTGAGGTAACACCTCACTCCCTCCTGTTTCTGTTTCTATTCTGTGAGAGCTTGGAGAAGCCAGGAGAGAGAGTAAAGAGTGAAACTTGCCTGCCAGACTCCTGCAGAGGTAGCTGGGTGAAAAGAGCATCTCAGCTGTGGCATCCGTGACCCAGAGCAGAGGAACCAGAAGCCAGGTGGACAGAGCAAACCAAGTCCCTCCTCTGCCCGTGACTGTCCACCCCACTCCCTGGCCCCTTTCCGACTCCACTCCTTTGTTTCTCCTTGTGCACTGTCTCCCTGCTCCTGCTCCTGCCCCCAGTTGGTTGTCCCCTCTCCTGTCCCTCCTGTGTCTCTCAGTCTTCCCACCCTGCTTCACTTCCTTCTCCATAGCAGAGAGCATTAATGTATAGATTTCACACTTGTCCTATTTTTCAGCTGTGGCTTCATGTGTTATTAATAGAGCCAATAGATGAGCTGTGCTCTGAGCCTTCCCCCTCCCTGTCCCCTTAAGAATATTTCATCATACTTTTTTTTTTTTTTTTTTTTTGCTTCATGGCTTTTAATTGATTTTTCTTCCCGTGGATCGTCAGACTTCTGTAGGAAAACTCCTTGTTCTCCAAAGCAGGGAATCTGGAGCTTTGCACAGCACCCTGAATGGTCCTCAGTGGGTTGTCACCTGTCCTGCCTGCAGTGCCTTCCCCCGCCCACTACACCACTGCACAGCACCCCAAACGGTCCTCAGCTGGCCGTCACCTGCCCTTCCTGCAGTCCCTTCCCCTACCTACTATACCACTGCACAGCACCCCGAATGGTCCTCAGCTGGCCATCACCTGCCCCACCTGCAGTCCCTTCCCCACTACGCCACCCAGAAACCTAGGCATGGACCTTTGCCTACCGTGTGAAGGAGTCTCATTAAGTCCTTTCCTCTCTCCTTAAAGCTGGACCTAAGTCCCCTTCTTTGCCACATATCTTCCGGGGTGCAGACACTGGCAGAATGACACTTTCTAGGTCTCCTCAGTCCCTGGGTTCCCTATGAACTGGATTCTGTCCAACATGCTGAGCTTTAGAGGCTAAAGCTGGGCATCAACAACCTTGCTGGCATGTTTTCTAGATCACACACTCATGGTTTCCTGGGCTGTTCCTAACTAGGGCTTAATGCCGTGTATCCACGCCCTCCTCAGACCCTCCTAGCTGTCAGGCACACTGCTCCCTCACTTCCTTAGAGTCAGGATAGTCCCTTCTCTCTGGAACACAGAAAGCATCTTCCATTCCAGCACTGGGCAGCTCCAGCTCCCAGTCCCTGCTTCCCCACTCTCCCCATTTGCTCAGAGTACCACCTGTGTTTGTTCCGTACTTAAGCCAGGGGCTGCCGCCCAGAGCTGCCCTCTTACTGATAAGTGATGGCCTGAGATCCTGGGAAGGCATGCCCAGCTGCCAGCAGCATATGGATGCTGAGCCAGGTACACAGCTGCTGTAGGGGCCTCTGCCTTTTCAACTAGCTTGCATAGCAGCAGGCCCTGCAGCCATTTCCTGTTTTAAAATGAGCCTGTTATACTGAGGGGTCTTTAAGATGGCAAGTCCTCTGTGTTCATCTAAGTTGCTACATAGTTTGTGCAAGGTTCTGCAAACAGCAGGATTCCATTCAGGAAGTCCTCAGCAGGGCGGGGCCTGGGTTACTGCTGTCACTCACTGTCCTGATGGCAGATTTATAGGCTTTCACTGTGGGGGAAGGCTCAGCTCTGTCTCCTCTGGGGCTGGAAGGTCAGCTCTCTACTGGTTGTGAAAGCAGTGGGGGCTGTTGTCATGTGGCCTTGCTGTCCAGGAAGCTGGTAGTGAGGTCCACCCCGAGAGGTCGGTGGGGCAGATATGATATGCTATAACCAGGCAGTTCTTATTGCCAGCTCTCCTGTGCCTGTCTTTAAATCGACCAGCCATTAAGTTGGTGATAAAGATGGGGAATTAACTGGTACAGAGACCAGATGGTGTAAAGGAAATTGACACTACAAGGCAGAGGACAGCCCAGCTGCCCAAGCTTGCAGGGCTTCCGGACTTTTCCATCTGCCTGTGACCAGAAATGCAATAGAAGACTCAGGTCGGGGCAGGGGACTTAGGCAGGGTGTCTGAGCCCTGTGCCACCGGTGTTCTGACCATGCTAAGGAAAAGGCAAGGTGAATCGCTTGACTTCCCCAGGGCCTGAATCCCTCTGCTGTCGAGTTCTTGGCTTCCTTCCCCATCTGCCTCTTCAGCGCTATGCAAGGTGGAAGCTGGAAAGAAGGACTGGGAACCTGCCTCAGCCTCCAGTGGCAGGTGAGCACAGAGGAGCTAGGCTGGGACTTGGCCTTGTTATGGTGACAAGGCCCTGGGCTGCTGGTAGCAGAGCTCAGCCCTAGTCCAAAAGTCTTAGAGCCAGAAAAGCTCTGCTGTAACTCAGTTCCTTTGGAGCCAGAAAAGCTCTGCTGTAACTCAGTTCCTGGCGGAAGACCTAGGAACTCGGAACGGCTGGGGTATGTCTGTGTCTGCATTACGAGGCCAGCCAAGCCTAAATCCTGACATCATGGCTGCAGAAGGAACCGGTCCTCTGCTCTGCTGAGCCTGCCTCAGAGGGCAGGGCTGCCCTGGAGACACAGACACACCCAGAACAGAGCTCCACCAGCTTTCTAGGGATTTCTAATCCAGTCAAGCCCGTACTGACTGACAAGTCTCAATGCCTGGCTTTGGGCATTTGATCCAGCAAGTAAACTGTTGTGGTTGTCAAGGGAAGTGAGAAAAGAAAGCTAGGTAGCTGAGATAAATAAAGCCCCTTGGCTCCAGAACATCTCTAGGAAGCACAAGGAACACTAGAGGAGGAGACAACTAAATTCTGCTGTCTCTGGTGCTCACTCCACTGACCTTAGGTTTGAACTGTGGTGTCTGTGAAAAAGCCCCAGAACGCTCTGACCGTGTGTTTTCTCCTGGTTCCCATGTGGGCTTTTCTTGTAACCTGTAGAAGGATCCAGGAGCTCCTAGGTGTGCTTGAGCCAAGGCAGGGGGCAAGGCTCACCAGCTTGCTTCTGTGAGGATCCTTTAAGCTCCTAAAGGACAGGGCCACCTCTAATCTGTGTCTTGCCAGAGCCTAGCAAAGTTCAGAGGTGGTAGTTAAAGGGACAGACTCATGGGGAAACCAGGTCCCAGCCCAGCAGGTTTAGTGAGGGGGAAAATATCTCTCACCGGACAGAAAAAGAGCCAAATTTAAACCACCCAGAATCTGTCAATGTATTAAGCCACCCTTTTCCACTCTTAACAATGCATATGAAACCAGAGCTTGTGTACATGCGTGGAGGTGCTGGAGAAGGTCAGAAGTGGGCGGCAAATCCCCTGGGGCTGGAGTTAAAGGTGGTTGTCGGCTGGTAACCATAGGTGCCGGGAGCCAAGCTAGGGGCTTTCTGAAAAAGCAGTATATGTCTTGCTCAGCCATCTCCCCAGGCCCAGCAAGATGTTTTTGATCCTCCTGTCTCCACCTCCCAAATGCTAGCATTCATTGGTCATGCACCTCTGCCATCAGGGTAGAGAAGGGGGAGGTTTTGGTTGGGGAGTGGTATTAATTGGGCCTCTCTGGAAAGCTATTTTTCAGATAACAGTGGAGCAGACTGGCCTTGTTGGGGCTTGGGTTTTCACTCCTAACTCGTCTAGTTTTTGAAGAGTGCATCAATTCTACCTGCTCTGCCTGCGATCTTCATGGCTACCTGGGAACAGAGGTCTGGTTGTTCCTGGACCCCGTTACCAGCTAAATGCTCATGTGGTTTTGAATAGGTCATTTGACCTCTCTTGTCTCCCAACTTCAGCTCTGCCTCTCAGAGCAGCCACAGCAGCCCAGCATGGACAGAGATGATGTCCTCAGCCTCTACCACTGGACACTGTGCATGCTGCAGCCTCCAAAACAGGAGAAAATCCCAGACCAGCGTGTGGCCCCATAGAGTACCAGGCCGGCCCTGGAAGCACCAGTATAGGAGACAAGCAATCTGTGTCCACTGTGATGCACAGGCCTCAGGCACACACAGGAGCCTGCAGACAGGGAAGTGGGAGAGGGTGCAGCTGACAGTCAGGGGCCCAGCTATAAAGTGGATGGGCATGTTGCTTTCCAAAGAGCATTTCCAGGGTCCCTCCCTGCAATGAGCCTCTGCGGACACCAAAATAATGGAGGGTGTAGAACACAGAAGCAAGCTGCCTGGTGAAGGGAAGCAGGAGTCGCCATGTGTGGGAGGGACAGAAGCCTACTGGAGAGAGGACATGGTGAGTGAACCGAGTAGCCCAGGGGACAGCCCCAGGTCAGCTTGGATGATAGAGAGACCTGCAGCACAAAGCCAGGAAGTGGCTGGCATCTTCTGCCTACATGGGTGCTGGGAGAGCACAGCAGAGTCAGCTTCCTGACGAGGGTTCCGAGTAGGGCATCTTGATACTCCCTGCTGGGGTGAGAGGGAAAGGTCAGATGGGAGTGGAGGGCATGGGGGAAAGGATGAGTGAGGTGCCTGGGGCCTGAAGTCAAAGGCTGAGCAAGAACTGAGCTCTGGCAACCTAGCTGGGGCGCCATACGGGGCATAGGAAGCTTTGGTGTCCCATGGAGGATGGTTGAAAGGGAATGTGGGTCCCTCAAACCTAGCCATGGGACTCTTGGTAGTGAGCTTACCCAGTGACTTTCCTTAGTACCTTGGGAAGAAGGCAGATTAGGCTAGAACTGATTACCAGCTCCCTCGAAAGAAACCAAAGGTGAGCGGACATTTTCCCACCATCCCAACGGACACCCTCTCAACTCAACAGAGGATCCTTTACAGGGACCCATAACCAATACTTCCCTAAAGCCTCAGTAACCAATAGCTTTATTATTTTTAAATGTGTGTGCATGCACACATGCAGATGGTTGTGAGCCGCCTCATGTGGGTGCTGGAAATGGAACTTACGTCTTCTGGAAGAGCAGCAAATTCGCTTAAACCCCCGTCATCTCTCTGGTTCCACTGATAGCATTGTTGACATGGGTGGGCCCAATCATGCCCTTTCACCCTGTTTCTCTTTCTGTTCTGGACATCAGGAAGCTCGTGTCAGTGTCAAATTCCTCTTCCTCCCATCTTGGACATTTGTACAGGAAATGATCTTTGCAGTCTTGAATACTTGCCCCACCCCCACATTTCTTGCACTTGAACTCAGACATGCTAAGCAAGTGCTCTGCCATTGAGGTTCATGTCCAACCTCTTGTCTATGGTCATTCTGATCATAAGCTACCTCTAATACTTCGTGGAATAAGACAGAACAGCCTTATTTTTGCTTGTTTGTTTGTTTTTGAGACACAGGCTTACTATGTAGATCAGACTGGCCTCACAGAGGTCTATCTGCTTCTGCCTCCTGAGTACTAGATTAAAAGCATGAGCCACATACCCTGCTAGATACATTATTTCCTTAAAAGTCATATGTATTAAGTTGCTGCACAAAAACTGAGGTTTTAGACAGACAGTGACTTCTAAACCACTATAGCCTGGCATGAACACGGCTTTTAACCAAAATAGGAACCATCAAATTCAACATGTTTTTGCCAACAAGAAGTACGTTTATTTGTGTCGGTAGCGTGAGACTCCTTGCTTGGGCATTTGAAGGACTCTTGGAGAACACCATCTGCACCCTGCTGGTGGTGGAAGTGAAGAATTTCCTGAAATGCTTGAAGAAGTGGTCATCAGCTGCTGAAAGGTCAGGTGACGGTGGGGGAGGCAAACTCTGGAGTCCAACATGTCCAACTTCTGAAACTGGGTTGTACAACGTGCAGTCGGATATTGTCATGGAGAACTGGGTCATATAGTGGTATGTTATTTGTGTTTTAATAAATAAAGCTTGCCTGAAGATCAGAGGGCCAAGTAGCCGCACTAGTCATCCAAACAAGCCAGGGAGTGATGGCACACACCTTTCATCCCAGGACTCGGGAGGCAGAGGCAGAGCGCTCTCTGTGAGTTCAAGACCACCCTGGGCTACACAAGATGGATCCAGAAGCAGATCCAGGTGTTGGTGGTTCACATTTTAATCCCAGTGTTTGGGAGTCACACTTTTAACCCCAGCACTAGGGAGGTGGAGACAGGAGCGATATGGCTGGGTGAAGAGAGGAACATAAAAGGGAAGAAACAGGAACTCGGTGATGTGGAATCTGAGGATTCATGGAGACAGGATCTTGTCCTTTTGGTCCGAAGATTTGGTAGAGGTAAAGGGTCTCTAGTAGCTTGGCTGCTTTGCTTTTCTGGACTTCAACATGAACCCCCAATATCTGTCTCTGGGTTTGTATTATTCATGCTACAAAGTCCTTTCCATTGACCAATGCCAGCTGTGGGCACTGCATTTTGGGTGTGTCCCACAGGTTTTGCTGAGCACACTCCTCAGATGTGTGTGCTTCACCAGGACTCAGAAAGCCCAGACACCAGTGACCACGATAATTTTTGGTGAGACTCTGGCTGTGGGAAGTGCTATGGGGCATCTTCTCTGCCCGGCCACTGATGTGGCATCACTGGTTGTCATACACAATCCACTTTTCATGGCACATCACAACCCAATGGAGACCTGGTGCGTTGTGCAGAGGACGACAGTACAAAATGGGAATTTTTAAATTTTTGGTCAGTTCATGAGGCACCACTTAGTGGCTTTTTCACCTTTCCAATTTGCTCCAAATGCCAAATGGCCACTGGATGGTCTGTGTTGGGTTATTGGCTCCTTTTCCTTAGCGCTAAGGGAACCTGCTTCGGTGACTGCCCTCAGTCGCTGTCAGCTGATGGGCAGCCACTGAGGCCCTGGTCTGCAAGGCTCTGGCTGGCACAGCTTCGCAGCCACCACTGCTGTGTTCACTAGAGGTCCCAGGCCAGATGCTTTGATGCTGGGAGGGGCCTGTGGTTCCCAGGCCAGAGGCCTTGGCTCTGCAAGCTGTTGCTGCTTTACATCCCATTTTGAATTCAGATAAGGAAGTTACTATGATTTTCTTCTGTCTAACATTGTCATGATATAAAATAATAAAATAAGCAGCACATGTAAATAATTAGGAAGGAATTAAAGCATGAAATAAGCATTATATGAGTAGTACATAACCATATTTATTAAGAATGTATTATTGTTGCTGTGGAATAATCCTGTACACTGTGTGAATATATGTCACTATGATTGGTTTAATAAACAAGCTGACTGGCCAATAGCTGAACAGGACAAAATTAGGTGGGAAAGCCAAACTCTCTCTCTCTCTCTCTCTCTCTCTCTCTCTCTGTGTGTGTGTGTGTGTGTGTGTGTGTGTGTGTGTGTGTGTTTGGTTTGGTTTTTCAAGATAGGGTTTCTCTGTAGCTTTTTGGAGCCTGCCCTGGGACCTGCTCTGTAGACCCAACTGACCTCCAATTCACAGAGATCCACCTGTCTCTGCCTACCGAGTGCTGGGATTAAAGGCGTGCAGTAACCATTTATAAACTTGTAGAGAAGACAGCCCTTTTAGTTGGAGCTGCACAATGGTCCTGCCTCCATACCTTGTTCAACATGACAATCATTTCATTATTATTTTGTGTGTGTGTCTGTGCACCACGGTGCCTCATGCCTGAGGAGGCGGTTTACCTCCATGTGTGTTCTGAGAATCAAATTGAGGTTATTTGCAAGAATAACAAGTGCTGGGCTGGAGAGTTGGTTCAGTGGTTAAGAGCACTGGCTGCTCTTCCAGAGGTCCTGAGTTCAATTCCCAGCAACCATATGGTGGCTCACAACCATCTGTAATGATATCTGGTGCCCTCTTCTGGCCTGCCTGTCTACCTGCAGGCAGAATACTGTATACATAATAAATAATCTAAAAAAAAAAAAGAATAACAAGTGCTCTTAGCCACTGAGCCAACTCTCCAGCCCACTGTATTTAGTTTTTAAAGTCTACTTGTGCATGTATATGGTGCAGTGCCCTCAGAGAGCAGAAGAGGGCATTGGATCCCTTGGAGCTACAGAGGGTTGTGAGCCACTGTGTGGATGCTAGAGCCAAATCCAGCTCTTCTATAAAAGCAACAAGTAATTTTAACACAAAACCATCTCTCTAGCCTCATAGGTTTTTTTTTTTAAAATGTGTATAGGAAAATATCTAGATCTGTCAGTTTCCATGTGGTCCTGTATGGAGGCCCTGAGGACGGGAGGGTGGTAACCTTAGGAGGTGACTTGTGGCTGCTTCCCAGTGTCTGCAATAAACATGCACCCTATGTATAATCATCACCTGCTGTTACCTAGGAAGCTCTTGAATCTTGTATGTAGTGTGTCATCATTTACCCAAAAAGGGGTGACAGGCCAGATGGTGGGTGCCTGTAATCCCTCAGGAGAGGCAGGAAGAGCAGTTCAAGGTCACCTATGGGGGTTGAGTTCCAGGCTAGAGACTCAGTAAAACAAAACAAACCAGCCTACCCCAACAGGACCAAGCAGGAGGAGAAGAAAAGAAATGGTGGAAATGTGGGAGTAGTTACTTTTTGGCCTTAGGTTGATGATAGTTGGGATGGCCGTGTACCTAGGGTTCGCCACACTCCTCCCTCTGCTCCTGTATGTTTGAAACTTAAACAAAAGCATGTTAATAGGACCGGAGAGATGGTTCTGTGGTTAAGAGTTACAAGAGTAGTGTCTTGTAAAGACACTGACCCATGCTCAGTGTCGTCACCCATGTGACAGCTCAGAACAGCGGGCAGCTCCAGTCCAGGGGATCCAACGCCCTTTCCGGTCTGCGCAGGCTTCTGCATGCATGTGTGTGCACAAACACATGTCCGAGCACACAATAAATAAAATTATAAAAAAATCTTTAAGACTCTGTTAAGCCCTTCAGCAGACGTCACTGAAGGATGCATTTGGTGTGCTGCTATGGCACTGTGCCAAGTGCCCCTGTATCCTCAAGGCCTGTTCATCCTCACTGGAGGCAGATGAGAAAGGCTAGGAGTTTTGATTCCCCTGTGGGGACAGGGCAAGGAGTGAGTGTGGTGTGGAGGTGTAACAGCTGAGCCCTTATCTTTCAAAGGCCGGCAGTTATTGATAATGTCTCAAAGGGAGTAATTGGTGCTGTTGCGATAAGGCTTTTAAACATGGAGATAAGAACCTGAAAAAAGGACTGGGAGAAGGCCTACCCAGGAAAGTGCTTGAGGACATGGGGGAGGGGGAGGGGCTGAGTTCAGCCCCAGCACCTCCTCAAAACCTGGCCTGGTGGGACAAGTCTGGAACTCCGGTGCTGGAGGGAACGGGAGGAGACAGGCAGATCCAGGAGGCTGACTTGCCAGTTTAGCAAGGATTCAGTTAGAGATCCTATCTCTAACCAATTGAGGAAGACACAGGACGTACTGCCTAGTCCACCCACACACGTGTGTATATGTAACACATGCACCTGCACATATGTGAACGTGCATACACACATGCATGCAGCTATATATACAGATACATAAAAAAAATAAAAATGTGTACTTGAATCCGGCAAGGCAGCACAGGCCTGTAATTCCGAACACAGGAGGCTAAAGCAGGAGGTTCACAAGTTCAAAACCAATTTGGGTTGCATAGAAAGACCTTATCTCAAAAACAGAACAATGTGCACCTGGGCTGGTGGGTGTATCTCAGACGTAGAATGCTAAAGTATAAATTAGGTTCCCAAGACCAAAACCGAAATAATAACAAGTGTGTGCCTGTCACTAATCCCACTTAAAAAAAAAAAAAAGTAAAGGGAGAAAAAAAATGGATGCACAAAAACCTGCCTGGATTTCTCTGAGCTCAGATCTGAGATTGTGACGCCCCTGCAGCCCTGGTGCTGGAAATGGGAAGCCCTGTACATTCAGAGGGTCCAGCCTCCCAGGAGTGGTCTTGAAGACAGCTACTTTCAGCTGTTTCTGAAGGCAGTACCTGAGGAAGATGCCGACTTTAGCAGCTCACGAGACAGAAAGGCTCTTCACGGGTCTCATCTTCACCCTGCTAGCTGGTCCACAGAAGCTCCCACCCCGCTCAGTGTCAGCAAATCAGTCAGCCTGTGCTGTTCCCACGGCCAGGGAGGAGGTGTTCTGCAAGGCCACCTTAAGGATGCCCGACCTGAGGCTGAGACTGACTCCAGGTCTAGCCCCTGAGGCACTTCAGGGGCTGCTGGAAAGTAGGGTGTGCATGTTGGGGGCGGTGCCCTGGAATTGCCTTGGTCTGGAAGTTGAGGTGGGCAGTGTGCGTGGAGAAGGGAGTTTGGAGTGAAAGCACCCGAGGTTTGCAACGAGAAGAGACTGGGACTCGGGAAGGAGCAGGGTTCTGATAGTGAGCCTATCCAGCCCCCCCCCCGCCCGCCCCCGTGGCCCTGAGGTCAGGGTGACAGTCGATGCCTGTGGCTGTCCCAGGTGTACTCCTATACTCCCGTCCATCCTAATCTCTCTTCCAACCCAGCCTTGGGTCCTGACCCTTCCAGGCTTTGCCCCTTATTTTCCTTCAGCACAGC